TAAAGTCATACAACACATTGGGGTAAATACTTATGATTGCAAGTGAGAAACACTATTAGTATTCTGAATTGTAATGTTTCTAATTTGATTTTATTTCATGTAACTACTATCATTTTCATGAATTTTTCTATCTTTATATCCCCTCCATGCAAATTCTAGTTCTATTTAGCTTATTATTGAAACTATTATTGATGATGAGATTGTGTCTACTACTGCTGGTGAATATTAAAGGTTTCTTATACATTGGCACAATGTGACCACTCGAATGATTCATGGATTACTTTGCAGGAAGCGTACCAATTACACCTATACTTAATGAATATCAAATGATCAATTTGCTGCAGCATAATTTTTTTCAAGTCAAGCCTATTTAATGAAATATGATAATGTATACTTGACCGAAGCAAATAAGTTAACCTTATAATTGTTAAGTATTTTAGTTTACATTAAATTTTCTTTTCAGTTTATGTTAAACATGCTTATGATATTGATCTTATTGAGAACGAGTTGCATTTCTAATACTTTAGCTGCTTTTTTAGGTTTGATTAATTATTAAAAGGTTCTATTCAATCAATATTATAAATAATAAGTGTTTAAGCTTTCAAAGTTCCATACTACCTATAAAATTGCTACAAGCTGATTTTCTTTATGATTGTTTGTTGCTTAACAATTGTTTCATGCTAGCACATTGGCGTTGTCATATGATACAGTCCTGAGAGGACACCCAGTCTCTTTTGTGCTATTATTATACAATCCCAGTGTTTGTTCGACTACGTGCTATAATCCTTATGCTCGCAAATTATTATTGTTGCGGATCTCTATTATATCGCTAATTGCTATTATCTGGACCACAACTTTCTTCCTTCTTGTTTCGAGTCCCTTTCTGCCTTTGGTTTTCCTTTTTTGGATGAATTAGCATGAAAATTATGAAACATGAAAATGATTCCTATTGTTTGTGTCGGGAGAATAGAACTTGTCATTTGTTGACTATATCTAAAAAGATTATGAGAAATTTTTTAGCTTGAGTCATTTGTGAGCTATAAATAGGGTCCTATGAGGCATTTAAAAATCATTGAACAATGAGTACAACAAAATTATTGTTTTCCTTAATTCTTGTGTGTATATCTAAAAGGATTATGAGAAATCTTTTAGTTTGAGTCTTTTGTGAGCTATAAATAGGGTCCTATGAGGCGTGCAAAAATCATTGAACAATGAGTACATCACATAATTTTTTGTTTTTCTTAATTATTGTCTGTGGCGGTTGAATGTTTATTCTTTAAGTACTTCATAGGTGTTACTTTTGGGGCATGTGTTTTTGTATTGACAGAAAGCGTGGCTCAACTTTTTGGGGATGATTTCTATCTTTAATTTTGCTTTTAATTTGTTTAGTTGCTGATTTCTTGTCGTAATTGAGATTTTGTTAAGTGTAATGTATACTGAAATATTTTCCGCAGTGTTAATTTGATCATTATTGAAATTTTATTTTCATTCATTAGTTTTTACGAAATTTTAGATTTTTATGACTAGTGAATTATTGCTTGAAATGAAAGAAGCATTTTGACATTTTCATTAGAAGTGATTGATTTTTGCTAAAATTAAGAGTTTATAATCAAACAATTGTCATTTTTTTGTGTGTGGTCATTATGCATCATTGCATCTCATCATAAGTTGTATAATTAACCGTAGATTCTTAGCTGGCTTGCATCACTACGAGTCCTTTGCCTTTTTACAAGCCTAATTATAGCTTTTGGTGTCATTATTATTTTTTCCAGCTTTTAATTATTATTATTATTATTATTATTTTCAACTTTAGGATACAACCTCTTAGAAAATGTATGTTTAAGGCTAGGTTTATGTACACCTCTCCAAATACTAAATTAACTGGAGTTCCGTGCATTAATTTTACTTTTTTGGGTTGACAAATTGTATAGTTTGTGAATGAAGTGATAACTTAAGAGAGATTAACAGTTGCAATTGAAATTTATCCATGGCTAGGTTTGCCTTAAATATTAAAGCTTTGCCTTTCTCTTTGGCTAGAAGATAAGTATCTTACTTATCTATTTTAGTTTGATCTTATTTAATTTTTGTTCTTAATTCAATTCAACAATGTCACTGGCAGCCCAATACTCTGGGGATTCTTTGTTGTTAATAATGTCAGCTATTTTTTGTGATATGATTGTTTGATTTAGAGCGATACTAATAGAGATGGAGAGAGGAAGAACTTTGCATATACAATGTAGATCTTAGAACTACTAGATTGGCCTTCCAAATAATCAAATTTTATTCATAAATTTTCAATAACAATTAGGTATTATAAAGGCCATCAAACCCTACTTATAAAAATAGATCACAAGAATGATTCGGTGATATTTTTGTGTGATTGATTTAAGTATTTTTGATCTTTTATATTGAAGAATGAAGATATAACTTATAGAATCTGGATGGTTATAAACGAGTTTTATGGATAATAGGATGCCATAAAGGTGTAAAGTTAAATCTACAAAACTACAATTAGGCTGAGGATATTGAATAAATCTGAATGTTGGACCATAAAAATCATTGATATTTAAGGTGAGTGTTTCAAAATTAGAATGTTATGATAGGTGTGTGACAAAATTAAAATATGTAATTAATGAATTATGATATTAGAAAAAAATGTTGAGTAATATTTACTAAAGATAATGTGATTAAAACTAAACTTAGTTGGATTAAACATGTAAAGGGTAAAAAGTACACTATTAGACAACTTGATAAAATTAGTATTAAAACAATTAGGAAGAAAAATGGATAGACCTAAGATTACATGGATAAATGTTGTTTAAAATGATTTGGGAAGTATATATTTTAAGACCTAAAGTAACACATGTTTGAATGGAATGTAAAGGATTAATAATGTGAGTCCAAAAGGTGGGGATAAGACAATGAAGATTGATGATGATGATGATGATGCAACAATTAGGAAAAAAATTACATTTCAATTTTGTCATTATAAATTATTTGAATATAATTCTTTTATTATGTAAGAAGGATAATTAAATATTAAAAAATCAACAAAAACATGAAAATTCAACCAAAATGGAAATGAGGCTAAGAAAGCTTGAAAATGAGTTTGATTCAATTATGTTATGACCTAATTTGACTCTTTGTGATATGCCAATGAAAATATGATATTTTCTAGGTTAAATTATTTTTGCTCAATTCACCTGATTACCTGATTAGTAAAGAACTCTTCTTTAGAAGAATTTGGTGGAGGCTATGGAAGAGAAAGTGGCATTGTTTGATCCTCTGATGGAAAAAGCATCCATGTTGTACAGAAACTACTAAAATATAAGTCTAAACTCTAAAGAGCACATTTGGAGGCCTTGTCTGTTGGGCAACTCCAAACTTCATACCCTTTTAGGACCCTTGCAATGTGGACCGACGAAGGATTATGTGATGATGGCGGCAATAGAAACATAAAATCGATCTTTTGTAGCTATATTTGAAGCAAATTATATTCATTTGAAGTAGTATTTGTCTCATGAAATAATGACTTGTTGGATCTTCAACAAAAGTTGAGGAAAACTTCCCCATTTTGAACAATATTATTAGGCTCAGACACTGCATACGACATAAACTTTGGCTTAATGATAATATCTCAATCTTAGGCATAATTATTTGTTAACCAACCTGTTTTCTTGAACAGTTACATGAACATAATCCTTGTTTGTATGATTCTTTATAAGAATATCACATGCTTTTTCTATAGATGCCATCATAGTCATAGTAAACAACAACAACAACAAGCTTTTACCCCACTATGTGGAGTCGGCTACATGAATCACTTTTCTCCATTGTATCCTACTAAGAGCATAATCATAGTAAACAATAAATAAAATAATGACTTGGTGCCTTATATGTTCTAAATAGTATACACTTCATTGTTTGCAGATATAAACAAATATAGTCAAAGTCTAGCAATATATAATAACGCATGTATCAATGGGAAAACCTGCAAATACAACCATTGTTTGCAGATAAAACCTTAGTTTCTAGAGTGCAAAATAAAATAAGGGAAAGCCTGCATGATAGAAATTGATAAGTAATGTTCTTTTGGATAGAAAAGAGGCTTGCTAGATGCAGTGTTTAAAAAAAATCTAAATGATCTTTGGATTTTTTAATTGTTTCCATTTTAGTTATGGATTTTTCCTAGTGTTCCATTTAGTCCCTTGATTATTCAAAATTGAACCAATTTAGTCCTCTCATTAGTCATGTTTTTTCTTTTGTACAAACATTGGTAGAGGACAGCTTTTCATAAGGGTATTTTGGATTTTTTGGATTAATCTCACTAATTAATGTCTACTCAAATTAATAGGATTGAATCTAAAATGCTTAATGTACTATCATGGAAAGCTTCCACCTGCTAATTTTATTTCAAAGAAATGATGAAGTTTACGTTAGGACCAACTTGATTTAGATTTATGAGTTGAGGAATTAAGTTGAGTGATTGAATGAGGATGACACTAAATGGTACATCTGAAAAGTTCAGAGACCATTTTGATCCTTTGCTCTTTCGATATAGTTTGATTATTTTATTTAGTCTCCATAGAAAATCGAGCCGAGCTCTTGGTAATGGAAGGGGCTTGAGGTGGAGGCAAATGAACCTTGGTTTTAGGACCACTTTTGTGTTTATCTGTGGTCAATCAGACAAAAAATGACCCTACTTCCCATTTTTTCACTTACAGGAAAGCAAACAACCCTTTAATGAAAATATTAGGAATCATCTCTCCCAAAAGGACGTATCTGATTCATGGAGCTCCCTGTATTGTAGGAGCCAGTGGAGGAGTTGAGGCATGTTGGTTTATCCCTTCTATCTACAGGAGTGGTTGTGACTCAAACTTGTATCTAGAATGTACTTGATACAAAGAACTTAATCACTGCTCAAAGCCCTCTTTCTAATTATCTCATCTTCTTTAAATTTTATTTATAAAGCTATTATTTATTTATTCATTTGTGTGTAGGTGATCGTGTGAAGTATGTTGGGGCCTCTGTGCAAATTGATGCTGAAAAAGAGTACATCATTTCCTTCTTTTATTTATCCCTGAATAGTTCTTATTTATCAGATTTCTTGAATTAATAGATTAGATATTAGAATCAGCCACTGATAAGATGTCACACCCCAAACTGTATTATATAAGAAGCCTTCTTTTACATATTTGCTTCTAATCTATAGATGGGTTTCCTGGTGTGATATTTTATAGCCTATTTACTGGTAGTTATGCTAGAATTGACCAGCTACTGCATTTTATGGTTAATGATATGTATTATTGATCAAAATCAAATCGTCCATGTACTGGAAGTTTCTTTTAAGTTATAAAGGATGAAGCTTATATATTACAAGGCAAAAGTGTTATATGCTTTTAAAGTATACAGGTGTAACTTTATTGTCATGTACCTCATTACAAAAAGTAATTAGTATTTTAAGTGCTTGTTAAAGTCCCATTACACCCTTAAAAATAATCAGTGTTTCCTTTGCAGTGAAGTGCAAACTTTTGATGAAACCAAGTTTTTTTACTTTTAAAGAATAGTAATATTTACATAGTTGTTTTTCCATGAATTAGCTCCATAGATGCTGGAAAATGTTCGTTTTAAGGGTGTAATGGGACTTTCAATCTTATTACAAGTAGACAGATTGTGATGCGAAGGACTAGAAGCAGAACCCTTTTTGAAGACTGCTATGCCAGCCATTTTAATTTTGAAGCTTAGTTTTTCCTTTAAGTTGGAAAGTCAAATTATGAATGCAGGAATCCATTATGAAATCCGCTAAAAAGTAGTATATGACACCACATTATTGATAACACAGTAGAAAAATCATGGTACATCCGTACATGTTATAGAATGAAGCTAAACATTATCACATGAAGCCAAATTAGTGTGATTGTTAACAATTCTTATCATTGACAATTGGCTTAACCCAATTATTTGAGGTCGGCTTTTGAATCCTTCTTCTACATGCATTACCGTAAGAACAAGATCAAAATAGTCCATTGACTCTTTATGAATGACCAAAATAGTTCCCAGCTATATTAAATGATCATTTTGGTCTCTCGAGTCTTTTAAAAGGGAATTAAAATAGTCCCATGGTGGGACTATTGTGGTTCTTCTATGAGGAGTTGAGGGGCCAAAATTATTTTTTAATATAGTTGATGATTATTTTAATCTTTCATAAAGAGTCAGTGGGCCATTTTTATTTCGTTTACTGTTGTCCGAGTACTTAAATATGTGTTCCAGTTTGTTTGCTTTTTTAGCTAGCCATGTCAACTTTGATATACCTCTTTTACTTTCAATCTTTACATATCAGTTCTCTTTTATTTCCATCTTTTTTCTCCTTTTGCTTCCAAGCTTAGCTGGCCAAACAACTTGAGCCTATTTTTCATAGCTTGTTGCTTGACAGGTTTTATTTTGAAATTCATGACAATTATTTTTAAGTTGTCTCCAGATTTCATCAATTAGATCAGATTTGTTTTTTTATCAAAATAAATTTGAAGAAATTGGCTTTGGAGCTATATTTTGTACTTGATGGATATTGGCTTTATACTGGTTTCCTGATACACAAACATGCGAGGAGAGCATTCTTGATAAAGAATGAGCGATCATATTGTTTTTTATGTTTTCAGATGTGTGCGCTTCTTTTTATCTTTTCTATTCACAACCAAGGTAGCCAATAGTTAGCTAGAATTGAAAACCCTCATGTGAATAACCATGAATATGGCAAGTCAAACTTTTGATATAGATAGTGGGGATTCCTTTGCCTACATTAGTCTAATCAATGTATTTTTCAATCACTATTTTTATCCTTTTTTAATTTCTTTTTTTTTTTTCTGAGATTTTGGTCCAAACTTATGCTTTTCTTTTTGGTCTTTCAAATACTTCAAAGGTTTCTTCTTGCTTGAATTAGGCCCTCCTACAAATGGATTCTTTGGAGAAAGGAGTCTTCGATGAACTTCCAATTATAGGGCACTTTTTTTATGAATGCCTTCAATGACAAATAAGATATTCATCATTTGTTTAGTTTTCTTTGAGATAAAGTTCTCCCAAATTTTCATATCTAAAACATGTATTTTTTTCAAGGTTGGGGCTCTGTGTGGTTCATATGAACATTCTGATTCATTGAACCATTATCATGTTGATTTTTTGAAGAACCAATCTTTCTATTCTAAGTGAGCATTATATGATTCGCACCAGCTTTTGTGGGTTTTCGAAAGGGAAGTGCAAGCGGGGTTAGAATGTAAATGGTATAATCACACTGTCCCGTATGACAAAACGGTCGTATACCTTTATACTTTACGGAAGAAGGCCAACGAAAGAGTAGATAGAATTATCATATGATTATCCATGGAGAATAGTGACTTTCGCCTACACATCTTTATGGATAATAATATATTTGACTCGATAATAATGATATTTCTCCCATTTGATGCATAAGCTCGAATTAAATTTATTTAATGTGGATGTTGATTCCTCGTGGGTACAAGCACATGTAGTTAATTATATCTTAGGTCTTGGCCTAAGAATACTCTCAATTAGGGATGCTATTTTATTCTCTTCTTGGTTTAGTGCATAGTGGATTTCTAGGTTCTTCTAGTTCAAAGGGGATAAACTCTTCTCTCAATCTTTAGTGAGGATTGAATTTTTTAAATGTTTGAAGATTTGATTAAAAAAATTTAATTTAGAAGACTAAAGATTGATTTATCATTTTAGAAAAAAATTATAGGTTCAAAATTTATCAGGAAATCGAGAAAGACATACTGAGAGATGTATAATATGGACTTATGTCTGCCTGGAGTGGGCAATCAGCTAACATCCTAGAAATCAATCAACGCCTTATGCAAGCAAGATAAAGTGACTTTATCCTAAGTAGTCAAGGAATATTAATTTAGGGATTTAAATTAAGGCCATACAAAATATACAAACTAATCTACCTAGTGCCATGAATGATGATGCATGAAACAAATGCATAAATAAAATCTTTTATTCATTTATTTAGAAATATAAATACAATCTATGGTTTGCAAGAAAATAAGGTGGTAAGGCTCCACCGCAACAAACATGATTTTCTACATCTATGCAATATATATTTAAATATACTTGCTTATTATTTTCTGGCTCCAGGTCTTCTATAGGATTCCAAAAGAGAACACACCCAAGGGAGGGGATTATTTTTTGTAGCCTTATATGCATATGTATAAGCAAGTATTTTTAAACCTTTATAACTCAATGAATATATACAACTCGGTCTAGTTACATTCTAGATTCTAGACACTTTACATTTGCATTTGACTCTTTCATATATATTTGCACCTAGGTACATTCTACTTCACTTTATTTTTATGAGAAATCCTAGATACATTCTACTTTACTTTTTTTTTTGCATGAAAAAAAGATAACATGAATATGTATATGAAATGCATGTATGATATGTGCCATCCATAGTGCATAAAATAAGCAAACACACCAATGATATCCTCCAGACAAAGATATCCACATTAAACTAAACACACTATGACCTAGTATAAAACTAGAGATAGTGGCCATAGCAAAATAAATTCTAGTTTGTGAAAAATGTCGCATGTCTTTGATATGTCCTAAGAGATATGCTGCTTAAGTTATTTAAGTTAGAAGTTATATGTTGATTTATTAATGATTTATTCGATGACTTAATAGACACCTTTTGAATTCAGTACATGTATGCTCTCCAAAAGGAATTAAGCATAATATATGAAGGCTTCGAATGTCTAAGTATTTTTTATTGATTCAGATGAATATTTATTTAAATTTAAAAGTAATCACATTTGTTAAATTAGGGCTATGAGGTTTATTTCACCCTCATTGGGGCTAAACTAATAGCCTTGTGAGTCTAGGTTTCCCAACAATTACTTATTTGTTTAAGTTTGATTATTAATTGGTGATTTACTAAATTTTTGGTGATCTATTAAAGTTTCACATTTATTCAAATATTTAATTAATTAAGTTTGACCAAACTTTGCTTTTTGATTTACATTGGATTTTAAAAATTTATATTTTTTTATAAATACTAGACCGAATGAATTATTTAAAGACCCTCCAATCCAATGCATATGTATATTCCAAGTTGAGTTAAATACAATGCATAAAGGTCCTTGATTTTTTCAGAATTTGTTTGAGACTTATAAATCCAATACATTTGTGTTTTCTAATAGGAGTTAAATAAAATGTATACAACGACAACAACATCAAGCCTTTGTCCCACTACGTGGGGTCGGCTACATGATTCATTTTTCTCTATTATGTCCTGCTAAAAGTCAAATTCTCATTTAAATCTAATGTAGAAAGATCATTTTTAATATTTTCTAACCAAGTCTTTTTAGGTATACCTCTACATTTCTTAATATAAGTCAAATCTAATACATCTACTTTCCTAATCGTTTCATTGAAAGGCCGTCATTTTATGTGACCAAACCATCTAAGGAGATTCTCTCTAATCTTATCTTCCTGAAGCTACTCCATTCTTTTCACATATATTCTCATTTCGTACTTTTCTTACGAATAAATTGTTAAAATTAAATATAACAAATTACTCATATGCTATAGGCCGACTTTTATATACAGTCAACTACCATTTTGGTGCAACTATTTGGGGGCACATATAGAATGCTAGCTCAATGCAGTTGGCTGTTGACCATGTCACAAAACCTTTCACCAGAGTTTAACAATTAGTTTTATATAGACTACACCACTTTTGATACCACAATAGAGGAGATGACCCAATCTCGGGCCGGAACATATAATGTGTTCTTATAGAGTTCAAGGGGCTAGACGGCCAACCTTTGATGTTCCATCCAAATTGACAGGTGTTGAACTCATTTTATATGAGGTCATTAGGATAAATCGAAACCCTAGATTAATCTAGACCATTGGTTAATCTAGACTTAGATAAATCAAGACCTCTAATAAATCTAAACCCCGGATCAATCTAGACTGTGGATCAATTCAAACTCTAAATTAATCTAGACTTTAGATCAATCAAGACCCCAGGCCAATCAAAACCTCAAATCAATTTTGACCTCAAGTCAATCCAGATCTCAAATCTATTAAAAATCTAGTCCAGACTTCAACATCTTAACCTAAATAAACCCAAACTTTAGTCAAACCAGCCTTCTATCAAATTTTAATCCTATCCACTCATTTATAATCATCCATATCATTGTTATATATATATATATATATATATATATATATATATATATGATGAACAAATATAGTACAGACAAGCATCAAATGTTAAAGAGGTGATGAATTCCATGTTTTTCATTTAATGATACTTAAAAAAATCTTTGCGAGCAAGGTCAATCATGGCCACTACATATGTTTAAACATATATCCTGCAGGATTTCGTTAGAATGCCAACTACTTTTCAAAGATTATCATAAAAACAACTATAAAAAAGAATAAAGTAAATAAAAATAAGAATAAAACAATAAATATCCTAAACCCGATTTGTCACTATCCAATGTCTAATGATGAAAACAAAAAAAAGTCTTTGATAACTTATCTTTACTTGTCTTGAAGTAAAATGAATACATAAGAATTGTTTTTTTTTTTAATTATTTCAGAGTATACAAATCATTCTATTTAATATCTTCTGTTTTAAGATGTAAACAATGCAAATATTGAAATCCCCTCCTCTAAGGTGCTTCTTACTCTCTATTTGAAGATGTTAAGAACAAGTAAATATTCAAACTAAGGTAAAAGAAAAACTACCGGCTGAATCTTTTACTTAAGCTACAGTAGGACCATAGCTGAGATGGCTTCTATGTTTTTGTCAACATCTAGTAGGACCATAGCTGAGCATTATGTATTGTTGGTAAATCTTTGATTATGGATTACGCTTTAAATATTATCAAAATATGAGTTGTTGGTTCATGCAAGCATGGTTTAGTGATACTTAAAGCTTGTGTTCGTTATATTGCCTTAGTTTAGTATCCACATGTTGCTCTTGTATTACTCTCACATGCACCCTTTGTTGTTATTCTTTCCGATCTTGTATATTTTAAAGATTACCTTCATTTAAAAATTTCCAGGTCTCTGTTGAGTGGGCAGCGGGGAGAAGTGTATGAGGTTAGGGAGAATCATGTAGCTGTTATTCTGGATAATTCTGAAAGCAAGACAGTGGAAGAAAATAAAGGGAAGGATGACAAGTTGTCTATTTATTGGTTTGATAGTATGTTTCTATCCCCTACTGGTGCCTATTCTCAATCTCGATTGTTTTCACTGTTTGATCTTTCAAAATTGGATTGCTCCTTTTAGTTTTTTTTTTTCCAAGCAAGTATGAATTGCAATGCTACACGTGAACCATAGGGAAAACTTTGTTGTTCCTTTGATCAACAAGCATTTGGTATAATGGTGTATATGCATAGAAAGTTGGACAAAATACGTGGGATACATGATATCATGTACTACGCATACTAAGATCTAACAAATATTAAAACACAGCTAAAATCACTCTGATACACGCACAAGCATGCACACACAACATTATTATATGGGCTGAAGTACCTTGTATAGCAGAATAGTTCAAAATCTAGTGGCGGATCTATTTGTTTTTTTTTAATTTTTTAGGTGGGACATTAAAAAAAAGTTTTCTTCCTTACTTCCTTAATCCATATTTGAATTGGATCTAAAGTATATCAATCAAATAATTTTTGGATTAATTACCTAGTATAGTCGCACATAATTTTAATTAAAAAAAGAAGAAGATTTATGGCTTATTTTATGCCCGATTCCAAATGGTAAAACTACTTGATGAAGAATTCAATGATAGATACTCCAATGAACTTTCTAAGGCATACTTTTTGAGATTTTTAGCTAAAAAGGGTTTACTGCAAGGAAAAAAAAGAGAGAGGAAATAAGAGAAGAGATGATGCCATCAATATTAAGTGACATTGAGATGAGTTTGGGATGTTTATCACTTTATCCTGTGATCCATTTGAAGGTTAGATACTCTGCACTCCCTTTATACTCAGAATCTTTCCATCTTTATTTTTTGCATGTCTTTTTTGAGTCCATAAGGAGATGATATTTTTACCCTCCGGGGTAATATATCGTATTCTTATGCCGTGCCCGATTATAAAATATGCAATCCGTTTGAGGATACAAAAAAACTCTCCAACATGAGCTAGTGGGGCAATGTTCTCTTTGTGCTTCCATTGTGAATTTGCCAATGAAATATCTAGGCATTTACTATCATTTAATTTGAGTTCATATAGAATTAAAATATGTACAATAATAATGTTGGACTCTTTAAATTAGATTTTAGGATTGGATTTGTAAATGAACCTTGGGAAAAGTGTTTGCTTCATTAGATTGTTTTTGGCTCTCTAAAAGCAATAAATGTGTCATATGAAACCTCAGTTAAGGTTTGCCCATATTCTAAAATGATCATTTTATGGGATTAGTCTATTTACTAATTTATCCCCACGTAGTGGGATAAAGGCTTGATGCTGTTGTTGTTGTTGTCTATTTACTAATTTTCTCAGCAATATAATAATTAGAAGCTCCACCTAGTATTTGCACGTACTATTCATGTCTTGGGAGTTGCATAGACCTGTTCATTAGGTTGGCTTGACCCTGGCTTTCCTCATGGATAGCTGTATTAATCTAGCCATGCTAGATTCTCTCATCTACCATTGATGTATGAGTAGCTGATAAGATAGTGACTGATCCCTGAGTTCTTATTTAGTGTCTTTGGAACTTATTAATGTATTTTTTCTAGTTCAGGATATTGAGTATGATCATGATACTGAGGCTGAAGATTGGCATATAGCTATTGAGGCACTTTGTGAGGTAATTATTTTCTTTTATCTGCATTTTTTCTATGTTACCGATTAAATCTTTATACTTGCATCTCAATTTGATGTTTTGAAGTTATTTTAAGAAATGTAATTAAAGCATTCTATCATATATATATATATATATATATATATATTTGTTTGTCTTCTCAACAGGTTCTGCCATCCTTGCAACCGCTTATTGTCTACTTTCCTGATTCTTCGAAATGGTTGTTGAGAGTTGTTCCTAAGTCAAGTCGTACAATGTTTTTTTGTAAGATGGAGCAAATGTTTGAACAGCTTTCTGGGCCTGTTGTTTTGGTATGCGGTCAAAACATCATAGAAGCAGGGTCCAAAGAGAAAGAAAAACTCGTATGACTTTATTTGCTTCTCTCTTGAACTTGATCCATTTAGACTTTTGTAGTTTGGTAAAATTAGATTATGAAAAAAAGATTTATTCCTTTTTGACGTGTCACCAGGTTGATATATTTCTTATTTTGTATTTGCAGACAATGATTCTTCCACAAATTCGAATAGCTCGACTGGTAATTGTTCTTATTTTTTATTGTCACAGTGAATTTTAGAGTCTTTAACTAAAATATTAAAAGGAACACAACCATTGGAAAACCACATTTTTATTTCTCTTTTTGTACTTTATCTTTTCTGCTTGCTGCATGATAGTGTATGCAAACTTTCTGCTATTATATTGTCGACCTCACAAAAATTCGCTACCATAGAAACATCAACTCCTCATCAACTTAAAGTTTAGATCAAATGACCCTAATGCACCCCAAACCAATGCCCACAATCCCCTTTGATTAGAAATCGCTGACACTTGCCAAGATATTTGTCTTTACATTTGTAAAAGGCCTTTAAGGCTATTTATAATGAATGTTTTATGTTTGAACCCAATTAATTACCTATAGGGCAAGGTCATAAGGCCATTATTAGGTCTTACTTGATTCTAGGTTATAAGAGACCCCTAGCTGGCCTCTCCAACATTGGAGAATATCCATACGACAGACATCCCTCATCCTTAGGATTATAAATTTGATTGTTGAGCCTTTATATTATTAAAATTTCTAAGTTTTAATCTATAAATATATGATCGGCACTAGAATTAATTTAAAGCTCAATTGAAATCTCTGGGGTTGACTTGCCTATGATTCGATGTCATAAGGCTCATCAATGGGATTTTTTTTTTAACATATCTTTTTTAAGACAAACATATGAGAATCTTTGCTAGCAGAGTTGTAATCATCTTTCTCAAACCAACCTTAAATGCATCAATCATATTTAACATGTTTGTGAACTTAAGTTACCTCGCTTATAAGGGTCATAAGCCTCATTTGTAGGCATATTTAATATCAGAGCAATAAGACTTATACTAGTACATCTTAGGCTTCCCCTATATAATCAGGGTTGCAAGTCTTAACTTTTGAGAATATCTAATATTAAAGCTATAAGCATTAATCTTCAGTCGTAAGGAACAGGCTCCTATAAGGCTCATTATCTACTTCATATGTGTCTTTGGGCTAGGTGATATCTCTGTAAGTCACTAAGTCTCATCCTTGGGCCTTTTTGATATTAGAGCTATAAGTCCTAGCCTTGTCAAGTTAACTGGCATCTGGCCAACACGCTCACTCAATCAAGGCCCCTTCTTTAGATGTAAGTCCCAACTTCTTTAGTTTAGGACATGTTTGTTTTGCTAGCCATATTTTCACTATGTTAGATGATCATTCTACCTTATTTATAATCTCCATCTTTTAGTAGACCGAACTCCAACTCGAAACTTAGGTTAACTCAAGCCTCCCCACTTGAGGTAACTAGGGATTATGTCTATTGGCCCTCTTCCGCTTCAATGCTAACCTTAACAGTATGGGATAAACCTTCAATAATTACCTAGTCAAATATTTGTTATGGATTATGATTTCAAAAGATGCGTTGTGATTATAATCCCCATTCACTGTATGCTTGAAGGTATCTCCCTATCAAAATTCATTTAGAGTTTTTGGTCGTGCTAATTACTTTGAGGTAGAGACAGCCACCTATGAACTCCTTCGATTGCACTCAGCTATGTTTCATGATAGTCAATCTTGATATGAATCGGGTAAGCTCAATCGCTGAAACTTTAGTTCTTACATGTTAATTCCTCTGACCCACTTTCATCCGTTTGATATGATTGTAAATGAATTGTGTTGAGTTGAGTACTGCCGTTTTCAAGTTTGTTCATTTATCTTCTTATCAAGTTTGAATTGAATTTGAAGATAGCTTGAGTTTTATTTTATTTTATTTTTTTGAAACTTATTTATTAAAATTTTAATCGACTTTGTTATAACTGAGCTTTTTTAAAGCTTAATTTTGTAACATATAATGAAATGAGTACACCAAGTAATTACAAGGAGTTACCATATTAAAATGTGAAAAACAAGGACACAATTGCAGATAATATGATGACGAAGGAGAAAGTATCTATTTGTAGGCAAGGAGATCCATGGAAAGCTCTTCTTTATGACACCTAGCTTATATCCTAGTGAATCTTGGAGAATGACAATAATTCTTTCTCATTTTTTCCCTGTAGAAAATAGGATCTGAGAGCTTTTACCTATTTTGACATCAGTAGACTATAGGCTACCTTCTGAATTAGGAAGTTGCTTAGACTTTGTGACAATGGCATACTCAAGTAAAGTAAGATGATGAGGGGATAACTCATATGGAGGATCTGTATCAATGTTATTGGAAGTGAATGAGATTATGATAACCTTTTTAGGGCTTAGTACATAAAGGGAGGCTTTGAAGGTACTGATTCCATTTTACCATCTAGAGATTGTTCTGAATTTTGTGTGCATGCCTAAACTGAAGGTGGAACTACATTCATCACATTTGGCGATAGATTTTGATCATTTGTATGCTCTTTTTGTTTCGGTTTATAAGGATCAATAATAGATGATTTCCTTTGAGCTTTGAAATATTCAAACCAATTGTGTTTAAAAAAAAAAAAATTAATATGGATGAATGCCTTAAAATTCAACATTCCTTCAATGATCACATGAGGGACATAATTACATTCATTTCTGCCAGAATTTTAGCCACAGAAGGTCTAGAAAGATGACTGGAACATAATGTAGCTAGTTGAAGTAGTATAGGCCTAGCGGAGGAAAAAAACCTAAATTGGAGTCATAGGAGGTTCCATGGTTGAAAGTAAGGTGATCATTTTAATGTGCATAAAAAAGCCGTGCACATTGTATGATCACCGTGAGATGCATGTCTGACATAAATGTATGTATAATCTAAAGACTTGGATGCCCTATAGAGAACTTACCTATCATATAGAAAGAGAATGGAGTAGCTAGCTCAAACATCTTATTCATAGAAAATAAGAGCATATTTATCCTAATAAGTGGAGTTCTGCTTGTGTTGTGGAGGTTTTGATATTTCCTAAAAAAATAAGTGAATTGTGTAGACAAAGCCTATGGGGGTCTTGATACCATCAATTTGCCAATAACTCAAACAAAGAACCTAGGAGTGTTGATAATAGGAGAAACAACAATCATAAGTGCTCCAATAGTAGGTTGAACTATAGTGGAAACAATAGTCATTGGAACTGATGGTAGCAGTGAAGGAATAACTATGTCAGGGTAACCAACCAGAGGAGCAGCTGGAAAAGATGGCGTGGATACCAAGTAATAATCTAGAGTCTAGTGAGTTAGCATGACGTCAAGTATAAGATATTGAACATAAATTAAAAGGCTGCGAGCTTGATCAATCAAAAAGGTTGCCACCTTGGTGTCGAGGTTGGATATGACATGAGCATGAGTGCATTGATTGAAGGTGATGACAGCCCGTAGAAGAGGTAAGGCGCAAGGGCAACATAGAGGAAGGATCGGAGGGTATAGAGTTCGAGATATGGAGGAATGCATGAGCTACAAAGTGAGAGCCATGCTAGCTTAGCCGAGTGCACCAAGCATGATGCATGAGTGCAGGCGAGGTTGGGGTGAGAACAGGGACGAGATAGTCAAACACCGCACATGTGGGTGCGAGGGCCAGAAGCCCGAGCGCCCCACATGCATAGGCGGTTGGGCGTGAGGTCGGGCCACAGAGCAAGAGGCAGCGCTTTTATGTATAGGAGCGAGACGGATGAGAACCTAGGATCAGTCTTATTGGGTATTAGTGATAATCAAACCTAATTAACTATTTATGGGGTGTTAATGACATTTTATTCAACATTATTTATAATAAATTTTGAATAATAAAATTAGATATGTAATATATCAATCTAACTAGTTACTTACTATTTTATTAGCAAATGTCAAGAGAAAATAAATTTGAATTTAAATTTATCAATCAAGCTATTTGCTCAATATTTTCATTAGTAAGTATTAATAGAAATAAAATTAGATTTTTAAATCTGTCTAGTTATTTGCTAAATATTATTATCATGCTTATATCTCTTGTTATATATATATAAGTATATAACTTTAAATTTTGATATTTGAAAACTAATGTAATAACATAGAATGAGTATGAAATAAGCAATAAAGTCATCATTAATGAGTATTTTATTGAGTTCTTAGTGAATTATCTTGTAAATAACAAACAAATATGTTATGAACATAAACAAAATGAGTGGGTCACTGTTCATGCTTATTCATTTGTATATTGAGCTTAAAAAATAATGTTCAAACTTGTTCTCTTATCCAAATAAATGAACATAAATAGCTCTCATATGAACAAGTATCTAAGTCATTCATCAAATGTACAGGTTCGCTTGCCACCCTACATATTAGAATACTTATGACATTTTTGTTGAAGTTTATGTGAGAGTGAAAAAGTTTTTAGAGCATACCATCATCCTAGTTTACTCGGGATATTTAAGAGGAGGCAATCAATTGTTGTTAATTCGACTCCTTATATGATTTGTAAATTGAGCTCAAATTAATTTGGGATGATGAAATCATGAGATTTTGATTGGGTTGGCTACTCATCCCCATCCATTACCCTATGATAAACCAGATTTAATTGGAATGTTCATGGTGTTGATGTCGCGTCCGAGATGTAATAAATTGTACGGATTTATTCCCATAGCAAATCTTGAATTCCACATTTCTTAAATAAACCCATACAAAATTAAAAATCTCTGGGACATATTTCTTATTTGCCTTTGAGAACACCTTCCTGCTCATCATTTATTCTCTCGGTCCATCCATATGGAACATGAGGGAGGGATCATTGCCACATAATTGCGCGGGCATCACTTGGGAGCTTTTTGGAGCCCTAAATATTTTTGTGGTTTGATCCTTTCTTTCTTTTTAATGTTTGTTTTGAATGATCTTTTAAATCTATCATAATATTTAGTTATACTTGTTGCTTCTTTCGCGGACTCATTCAAAGAAAAGGTTAGTTAACGCTGAGGATGTGCCCTTTCATTCTTTCTTTGGAGAAGGCTCTGTTTTGCCATCCATCTCCTTTAAACAGAATTACGAACTTGAGTGCTATTGTCTTTCCAAGAATACTCCCTGGGGCATGCTCACCCTTTCTTTAGCTATGTATGTGTAGAAATTGAGTGATCATTGTGAACGATATACTTTAAAAAGCTCTACTAAATATAGTTTCCATCCTTCACTGTTCTATGCCGATTTTTCATTGCTGATCAAATCATCAAATTGATGTAACTGGTTTTTGCAGCCTTTACCATTAAAACAACTGACTGAAGGATTAAGAGCAAGCAAACCATCCAAAGGAAATGATATAAGTAAACTTTTTACGAATTCCATTATTATTCATCTTCCAAAGGTACAAACTGTTGCTTATTCTACTTTGTTCTTGCATTCTTTTAGTTTGTGATTGTATTCGTCAATTCTTAAGTTGTTTCATTTTGGCCCTTGTTTATTGGCAAATTAGAATTTAATTAGCATCGACTCTTCTATAAAACGATTCTGGTCAACATGTAGAAAGGTTAATTCCAATGGTTTTCATCGTTATTCAGCTGTTAAGCTTTTTGCATATTTTCTTTCCTCTGAAGTTTTATTATTTAATACACTCCCATCTCCTGCACAGTAGTTTGGAAAAGAATATATATATATATCTCCATGCTGAGATGTAGCTGTGGAATCAATTTAGAAAAATAATCGTGACTTTCTCATTACCTAGGGAAGCAACCGCCTCCAACCGTAATTTAGCCAAGAAGATAAGTTTTTTCATGTTGTTGAGCTAAACTTTTTCTGAAACAGAACCAAAGGTGAGAAGTTGCCAGGTTAGTAAGAAAAGTCGTTCCTTTGCATGAGTTCAGCAACGGACCTCTTTTGACTTGGCCATCTATAAAACATTATTTGAATTTATCTATGACAAGGAAAAAACAGCTTCAAAACTAACAATCTCCCTCTTAAAGATTGTTTTTTTTTTGGCGTACTCTAATAGCATAAACTCTATGGGGCACCTTCAACTTACTAGCTAGCTATGGAGGTTAATATTGTCTTTGCAAATTTTTAATTTCGCTGCAGGGATTATCTTTTATTATCATGTACACTGGTTTTTTTTGCTATGGGACACTTTCTTGCAATAAACATCGATTGAAGCGATTTCTAAAATGATTGTATTTAGTCATGTTATGAAATTCTACATTCTTGGCTATTTGAATTGCACATTGATTGTCAATTGAGAGAGAAATATATCATGTTCTTGTGGGCTCCGAAAATTTGCGCCCTGACCTCTCTGCGAGCCTTCTTTTTTTTGTTGGCGAACAGGAAAGTTTTATCGAGTTTAGATTCCGAGGTAAATTTTTAGAGCAGTAGATTTACATCTAATTTGTTATTTTTTATTTGTCAGCGAAGCATCCTTAAACATCACGTGTATGTGTCACACTCGCCGGGGCCCATGCGGTAAATGAGCTTTTCAGTGTATTTTGCATAATGCACTCATATATGAGATACTGTATATGCATGTCGCATTGTTGGACAATACATGTATGATGTATTTGTGTGTTACATTATACATATATAAGATACATTTGACATGTTGGATAGTACATATGCATTGTGTATTTGAATGTTGAGTAGTGAACTCACACAACATAGTTGTATGTCTTATAGTATGCTTGTGCAATATATATGCATGAATTTCAATGCATTTTTATAAGTATTTTACGTGTTTCATGATGCACTCATGCAACACACTTGCATATTCATAGTGTACTTATGCAACATGCTAGAATGTATTTTGGTGCACTTTATATAAGACATTTGCATTTTACTTGGCACACGTGCATGATGCATTTGTATGTTTGTTTAGTATGCATGCATGCTATCTTTGCATGAATTCTATTGCATTTGCAAGATTTATTTGTATGATCAATGGTATGCAAACATATTATGCAGTGCGCCCACATGATTGGTGGTATACATGCATGTTATATAGTGTGCTTGTATAGTACACTTGTATGTCACGAAAGCATTTGCAATATATGATCAAGAGATGTTTAGGAGATGTTTCTTTTTGGTGATTTGGCACATCTCACACACTTGAATAAGAAAGTCGTACCGCCTATGACTTGCAATAATTCACGGGATGTACGACACATTCACGGGAATATGAATCCCCTTTAGGTTGCTGACATGTACGTTGTTGAGAGTTGTTGCGCGCCTGTGACTTGCAATATGATTAATGCTTTTAATTCATTATGGAGCATTTAATTGAGATGATAATCATTTATATATTGGAGACATCCCACATGGCGATTATTAATATAAGTGGATTTTCATAGGAACGTAACCCTCTTAGGATAATTATTACCCATATTTAGGTGTATTTACCATCGTATTACACGTAACCCTATGAGGACGTCAGTTACTTAAGTACGGGAGGTTGTGAAACAACTTTAATAAAAAGAAATTACATTCTTAAACATCGAGGCGTCTTTTGGTGTAATAGTTGAAATTATTTTAAGAAATTTCAAAGTGTGTTTGTGAGGGAGAAATCGAGGGATGAGTGACCTCCTGAGAAGTTGCACTGATGGGATAAAATTGTGAGGTCATTAGTCCAACGTGGATAATATCTCAATTGTTAATAGTTTGAGCTGTCATGTTTAGGGAGTTGGGTGTTGTTGGCGAGAGGAAGAGAGTGCATGAGATTGAGGGCTTTTGGAAGAAGGATGGAGTGAGGAGAGAGGAGCAAGAGATTGAGGGAGATTGAAAGAATGAGCAATTTTGGGGTTTGGTTAAGGAAGAGGAGGGGTTCTTGTGACTTGGGCTCAGTTAAGGGAGAAATAATGGTTTTGGGTCTAGTACGCGCATGTGTCACATGTGACATTCGAGAGTGGGGATAACATGAATTTTGATGAGTATAACACAATTATTTTTAAATTATGATAATTCTATATAATTTTAGACCAAACTATTATCATATAATTTAAAATTTGAAGATATAACAATTATTATTATTTTTTATTTATACTTAATTTAATTTTTAATTAAAAAAATCCACATGTATTGGCCCCCTAAAAATTTTTTATTGTTCTTGTGAATTTGTTGCTCACGCATTTGAAAGATTTCGTGTGGCGTTGTACATCGATAGAATTTCGACATTCGTGTGGTGGCATGATTTGTTTACACAATTGGGAGACATTTAAGCAATTTTGATTGTAATCGAAATGTATTTAATTAATTTAGTGCGCTGCTTTGTTCAAAGGTCATTATTTATGTTGTTCTCAACTTGATTATATTTGGGTCATTTTATGGCATATATAAATAACAAGTGAGAAAAACTTTAGTGGTTTGTAACATCCTGTTCTCTATAATAGTGAATTAGATAGTCCGGCAAAAAATTAAAGTGTATTTTACTGGCAAATATCAATGTGTGACTAAGAGATTCTGAAATCTGCTCACTAGTTAAATAGGAATGTCACTTCTGAATTCTGTAATGCAGAAACCTTAGTGTCATTAACAGCCAATAAATGTGATAGCGCTTTCTGTGGCAATACATGTATATCATATGCTATCGATATGAGAGTCATCTTGAATTTGATTTATAAAATGGCTTGGTTTCTTGTGCTTGCAGGAAGAGGAGCAACTTAGAGTTTTCAATAAACAAATTGAAGAGGATAAGAAAATTATCATGTCAAGAAATAATCTTATAGAGCTTCATAAGGTGTAGTGATCTCTAAAGTTCATGATGTTTGCAGCAACTGCATTATCGGTATCCTTCTTGTAAATAATAATGTGAATTATGATGAAACCTACAATAGGTTCTTGAAGAACACGACCTTTCATGCATGGAACTTCTGCATTTGAAGACAGATGGTGTTATTTTGACCAAGCAAAGTAAGGAATCCTAGAGCTGCCTATTTGGTTTCAAACTTCTATGATGCAAAAAAAAAAAAAGAAAAAAAAGAAGCTGATTTATCTCTTTTTAGAAGCAAGTCTGAAAGCATTTGCCTATGATTTTTTCTGTTAAATTTTTATGGATGATTATTAGCTTTTGTTTTTTGGCCGCTCTGAAATAGTTGAGATGATGTTGATGATAATGATGAAAAATCATTTTCTCTGTGCCATCTATACAATCAAAATGCTTAGCTTAGATATTTATAAGATACCAATGTTCAAGTTTTCAAAAACAATAGTGCTTGTGACCTGTGAGTATAGTTTCTGCACTACATGCCTATGCTTACCTTGGATTGAATTGGCGCAGAAGCAGAGACCGCGGTTGGATGGGCTAGAAATAACTACTTGTCCTCCATCATTCTTCCTAATATTAATAATGGTAGGCTGGTGATTCCCCTTGACAGGTAATAGTTCTACACCTTTTCAGTGATGAAACATAAAGGTAATCGTGGATTGTAAAATTTAAACCGTTTTTTAATTCATTTAAAGCCTAGAGATTGCGATCTCAAGGTTGCGAGAGCAGGAATCAGTTTCAAGGAAGCTATCACAAAGCATAAAGGTTATTACTTGTTCTTATTTTGATACTTAATTCTTAGTTCTTACGGTTTCAATGAATCCTGTAATGGTTTCATTCTTTCTAATTATTGTAGAATCTTGCAAAAGATGAGTATGAGAGCAATTTTGTTTCAGCAGTGGTGCCCTCAGATGAAATAGGAGTCAAGTTTGATGATATCGGTGCTCTCGAGGATGTGAAGCAGACTTTAAATGAACTTGTGACACTTCCTATGAGAAGGCCAGAGCTTTTTTCACATGGAAATCTTTTGCGGGTTTGGTTTATTTTTGTGCTGCTTCTGTAAAGTCAAATCTTGTTTTTTCTTTTCCCATACATTTTGCGTTGTTTTATGTGAATTTTACTGAACTTGACCATGAGCTATGTGATCTTATTTTCAGCCTTGCAAAGGAATTTTACTTTTTGGCCCACCAGGAACTGGTAAAACTCTTCTTGCAAAAGCACTTGCAACTGAAGCTGGGGCAAATTTCATCAATATAACCAGTTCCACTCTTACGTCAAAGGTAAATTAGACTTCTGTTAATTGCAATTAAGTAAACTTGATTTGGACTTGGTGAATTTGTCTTCTTCCAAAAATTAATTCGTTGGTCCTTTGATAAAGTGGTTTGGAGATGCCGAGAAGCTCACTAAGGCACTTTTTTCCTTTGCCTCTCGACTGGCTCCTGTCATTATTTTTGTTGATGAGGTAAACAATCTTTATAACTGCGAGCAATCTTGCAGCTAGTTCCGTATTTTATTTGTTTTTTCTGGAAAAAACTTAGACTTCGCTTGGGACAACTTTTCTGCTGCTTCTTAAAGTAGCTTTTTAGTTTAAAAAAAAAATTATACTTAAGAAGTTGTTTTAAGAAGCAATAAGAAATTCATCCCAAACGAAGCCTTAGTTGTTGCTCTAATTTTGCTTAATCTAATGCCTTTTGTGATATCTATAGGTTGACAGCTTGCTTGGTGCACGAGGTGGTGCCTTCGAGCATGAAGCAACAAGAAGAATGCGGAATGAATTTATGGCTGCTTGGGACGGGTTGAGGTCAAAGGACAGTCAAAGGATTCTTATTCTTGGTGCTACAAATAGACCATTTGATCTCGATGATGCTGTGATTCGCCGCCTTCCAAGAAGGTAAAGATTGGAAGAATTAGGGTTGTGCTTCAATTCACCAATATATGAAATTGTTATTGAAATCTTGAATTATAGGATATATGTAGACCTCCCAGATGCTGAAAATCGCATGAAGATTTTGAAGATATTTCTTTCCCGAGAAAACCTCGACCCTAGCTTTAAATTTGACGAGTTAGCTAATGCAACCGAAGGGTATTCTGGAAGTGATTTGAAGGTAACAGAGCTCTTCAATTTATTGGCATAAGAGGGTTCGGATTGCTCACTCCATTTTTCATGCTATCTGCAGAATCTCTGCATTGCTGCTGCATACAGGCCTGTCCAAGAACTTCTTGAAGAAGAGAAGCAGGTAGCCTATATATATCTCATGTTATCTATAGTCTTCTTGCTTTTAGGTGGCTTTTGCGCTAAGAAGGCTAGCTAATAGTTTAGAGTTTCTCTCCAAACTAAAACTCTTTCCAGGCTAAGGTTTCGTTTGGGACGGCTTCCTGCTTCTTAAAGCGGCTTTCTAGTAGAAAAAATTTAATTTTTGTAGTAGAAAGTGCTTTAAGAAGCAGGAAGAAAGCTGTCCCAAACGAAACCTAATACTATTACAATTCTAAAATCCTTTCTCCTATGGTGCCATATTAAAAGGTTTTCTCTCACTCATTTAGTTCTTGATATCTTGTTTTAAAAATATTAATTACAATAATAATGAGCTACCATAATACTATGTGTACATCATATATCTAAATAGCAGCAACATAATGAACCTCGTAAATAAATTTGTGTGTTTTTCATTGTAAATAAATCATTATAAATCATTTGACGACCTATTTTATTCAAAGATGACAATGTAGGAGTTTTAAAATATTCCTTTATCTATAATCACATCATATCAGATTATATCATATTTGATTTATTTTTATATAATACATCTATTACAAGATTACCATCTAAATTATACCACTTAAGATAACTTAAATTTTTGTTTCCTTTTCAAAAATTTATTTTATTTTACATGTGGTTATATTGGTCCTAACTAGTATCATATGATGGTGAATTTCATCAATCAACATGTAAATACAAGTGCGTCTACATAGTTCATTTCATTGACATTTTTATGTCATTCAATAACTTTTTATAGTATACATTGTATTTTTTTGAAGCATGATATGGTAGCTATCACCCATTTCAACATCAACAATTACTTCATTGGTGAAGATAAAATTGCATTAACAAATAATTGAAGAAGTATCAATATCATTTAGTTTAATTTAATGCATTTGCCGGTTAGGAGAGTAGAGGTATTAGATTTGACTTATGTTAAGAAAGGTAGAGGCAGACCTAAAAAGACTTGGTTAGAAAATATTAAGAATGACCTTTCTTTATTAGATTTAAACGAGAATTTGACTTTTAATAAGACACAATGGAGAAAAAAAGATTCATGTAGCCGACCCCACATAATGGGATAAAGGCTTGATGTTGCTGTGTTGTTGATATGGAAGAAGGAACTTTATTACCATAAATAAAAAATATGAGATGCACCACAATTGTAGAAGACCTGGTTTTTTACTTCAACTCTTACTCCAACTTCATTAGTGTTTGACATCAATAATAATAAATAATCACAAGGCATCCTTAGTACTTATTTATACCTATATCTCTTTTTATTGTAATTTGAACCTATTGTTTACCTTAACTTATCTTTACTCTTGTTCAACTATATAAACCATCATTAAGTTGAATTATGTAATTTATTTATCTTTAACATAATATGATCATTTACGACTAGAGTAGACAGTATACCAGTAATATCTTGTATAATTCTATTAGGACTTCAAATTTCAATTTGACCAAATTTTTGTGAGGATTTCCACATCCAAAATATTTCTTTTGAAAACTTCTTTGGGTCCCTTGGGCAATTTTGTCTTAGATTTGTGTATGGTATGTGATAAACTGTTCTTTGAGCCTATTTTATTTGATTTCCATGATTCCACCTGTATTTCTGTGGATCAGCAAGTAGAAAAAACTGCTAAACCTTCATTGCGGCCTCTTTTTCTTGATGATTTCATACAAGCAAAATCAAAGGTATGCTTCTTTCATTAAATCAATTTTGTTGTCTTCTAAGGCTTTCATTTGGGATTGCTTTCTTCTTGCTTCCTAAAGTGGTTTTTTAGTTGAAGAAATTTTTTAATTAAAAAGCTGTTTTAAAAAGCAGTAAAAAAGTTGCCTAAACGAAGCCTAAGTTGATGCCAATATTCAGAACTCTTATGTATTTTCTTTTCTTCTTTTTTTTTTCACAAGGTGGGAGCTTCTGTAGCCTATGATGCTGCCAGCATGAATGAGCTTAGAAAATGGAATGAACGATATGGAGAGGGAGGCAGCAGGCGAATATCGCCTTTTGGATTTGGAAACTGACTATTGGAAAAGAGAATCGGTGTTTGTGACGTAGTGTTAGGCTCTTTTTCTTTAAAAGTTAGAATGTATTTACAGCTAATAAATCTTTAATTAAGTTTCCATGAGAGGGGAAAATAAAGATTTTTCCTTTTTTTTTTTAAATTGTTCCCAAGAAGATGATCTATTGTTCAAATGAGAAGTGTTTTTATGTCTGCATGTCTATACAATGTGCTTATAGATGCAGTTCATATATTTTATATTTTACAGTAGTATTTATATGAAATGTTGTACTGTTTATTTAACAGTATATTTCTTTCAATTCTTAGCTGTTGCATATGTTCACCTGTACCACAACCCCAAGAAGATTATTACTTATTTTCTTGAGCTTTCTGTGTTCCCTATCTAGAAATTCTTCTGCTATTAATTCCAGCCTAATTTTCTGAACAATCGTAGAATCAGTATTGATGGAGAAATTATTCTGTGCAGATGTTGAACTCCTCATATCACCCTTGCTTAATATCCAATATCCAACTCTGTACTATAAAGGTTGTGCATTCTTATTAGTCTCACAGAATAATTTCTCCAGACAATAAATTGGGTTCGATGTCCGCACATATGTACTTTATTCAAGTTTGACAACTCTACAGTTCGGCGATTAGGCTCATACCAAGTTTAATAAAAAATACTAAATATGGAGAGCTATAAATAACCAGAAAAAAAAAAAAGAATAATAAAACTAATAATGGACTATCATATTAAAATCTGCTACTCAAAGCTTCTTATGATTACAACACAATACTGTAAAAAAACTTGGCGACAAAAATACACTATAAGCTATAATGGATATTACACTAAAATAAACGTAAATTCCATCTCACCTTAATAGGCTTTTCAACTCTGGAACGAGTAAGAACAATTTTTCCGCAGGCTATGAATTGAACCAGCTTCATCTCTGAGCCGAAGACCCAAGCATAGGGAATGAGAAACATTTATATTACTGTATTTTGGTCATTTGTGGAGATAAGCCGATCATTTTCCTAAGTAAAGAACCTTCTGATGGTCCTTGCCACCATCCTGGAAACCAACCTAGCAGCCAAATCAGCCGGCAGGCGAACTAGTTCCTGTTGAGACTCCACTGGAAGCTGCCAGAATAGAAAGTAAAAACTTTAGTCAATTAATGAAAATTTTGGATTCATTTGGGACGGTTTTTTTACTGCTTCTTAAAATAGATTTTTAGTATTTTTTACTAAAAAGTTGCTTTAAGAAACAGCTATGTTACACCGATACGGATACGACACGATACGGATATGGGACACGTTAATTCTTAAAAATACAGGATACGGGTTTGACGTGGACACGGCATTATAATTTATAAATCATACATAAAAATTAAAAAAACAATCAAAGCATAATATTTGGAATTACAAAAAAAAATTGACAACAACATGATTTGTAGCCTTGTAGCTTATAATATCAAAATATAAGTAAGCATTAAATGTCTAGTACAACAACAAAAGCATAAACATAAATTATCTAGAACATGAAGTTTCAACAATTCAATAGAAGGAATGATATAATTATCTTATTCATTGGTTTGTCTTTGAACTTCTATATCATCTTCAATAAATATCATAGCTTCTAATTCAGGCTCATCAATTGAAAAATTAGTAATTTTAAATATTTTCATATCATCAAGAGACTCAAATCCATCTCGGAAATGAGAGAATCTTGCTCGCAACCGCGGAAGTAAAAACGATACGTCTTTTTTTCAGATTTCTTTTTGTTTTTCAACGGACACGCGTATCGGATATGCGTGTCCTTTTGAAATTAAAAAGTATTTTAATTGGATACAGCTTTGGCGTATCCAACACGTATTGGTGGAGTATCGGAGGCGTATCGGTGTATCGGATACAGCACGCCTTCATAAATAGGTGTATCTATGCAAAATAGAGGAACAGTAAAAAAGCGGTCCCAAACAAAGCCTATATGTTAGATTAGCAGACCAGAGAACCAATAAGTTCATAAGAAGTCTAACGTCTATAATCTTTTCATGACATTTAAGAAAAAAATATTTCTCAGGACTTAAAAAAATATAGGGAATACTATGCAGTTTTGAAAATTATACACAGAATACTTGCAAGCATGGATGGTTTCTCATTGAATGAATTAATACGAAATATTCCCATTACCTCTGGGATGATGGAAAAAATAGGCAAAATATCTTGGACAGATGTCATTTGATAAAGAACCATGGAGACCTCTTCCATGCCCACCTTTATTTCATTTCCATCATTAGCAACTCTTGATTCCTGAAAATAAGCAAATAAGCATTAACATGCTAAAACTACAAAGGCTACGTAAAAATGAAGTTCAACAAATTAAACCCAACATAAACTTGCAGCTTCAAAACAAAATGGAAAAGTGATTATTAAAATTTTCACACGGAAATGTTTGAAATTTGTTCAGAATCATTACTTTGTTGCCTTACGCATAAAAAAGAGATGCCCAGTGCAGTTTGCAATTAGGATTCTCACCCCTATATCGCAAAAAGGTTGATTGCATCAAGAGAACATCTGAACTTTATATCAAACTTGAGAGAAGGGCTCCTTTGGCTTCACATATTGATTCTACCATTTGTTTTTTAAATTATAAACAAATCATGTATGGTCATATGTTTTTATTTTTTGTTTTAAAACAAAAGGAGATGTTTTTAAAACACTCAAAATAAATTTTAGGAGTTCCACTATTTTCAAAATCCTAATACCCCTGCATCTGCTATCGACCAGCCCCAAGCCCTCCACCGGCCAACTTGTCCTTAAACCAAGTCATCCAAGTCTAGTCCACCAAAATCTCCGACTGCAACACAACCGCTCTTTTCCAAACCGCAAAATGAATGACTTGTACGATATTAATAAAAAAATAGCCTTTCTTTAAGATACCAAACTGGTTTTGATTTTATATTGAAACATAAACAAAATAAATATAAATAAATAAATAAATAAACAAAAAGTGATCCAAAATAACCCCTTGAAAATATGTTGTAATTCCAATCCTTTGTCATCCAAACCATTCTTCACTGACATTTAAAGTTAATAAACAAAATAAGCTATTCAAGGATTTGCCAAATCTTAGGGTTTCCAGGCGTCTAGTGTTGATTAGCGTTTTATTAAGACACAGGATAAATCCTTTCAAGCAATTCCTATTCTCCAAATCTGGTGTAACTACTCAAGAAATCGGATATGATCATTTACAATAAACTAGGAACAGATTTTGCTTACTGCGCTTGTATAATCTTGTTTCTGAAGCCTGTACAGAAGTAGGATAAGACGACTTAAGGTTCTCAAGTTATTGCGATCTTCATCAGCCATTGGAACTGATGAAAACGGTATTATTGAAGTGGATGATGAGACATAATTCATGGTCGCCAAGCTTAGTGCATCTAATCCCTGCATTTTCAGCATAACAAGTTAGCAGAAGTGATTCTCAAGGAAAACCTACATAAAAGACTGAAAAAACTGCTAAAAATATCAACAGAAATATGCCAGCCTTCCCATGACAAGCTACGTATAGAGGTATAATTGTTTTGTAATAGTAAGAAAGCAGCCTAGAGTCCTTCATGATGATTCATTAATCAGATTATCCAGAATTTTGAAAATTACTATAAACTAGTTAAAAAAATATGCTTTATTGATTATCTCCACAAGAGTAGTTTTTTCTGTTTTTTACATTCAAACCCTTAAAAAATGGAACTGTTGACAATGAGAACTTACGAAAGGGCCAACATAAAGTTAGAATCGAAGCTGATAATAACAAAAACATGAGCTTACATTAAACATCAAATGTGTCTTAGGAACATAGATGAAATTTAATGCTAAACAATGCAACAGATTTTCACCATTACTAATACACTGGGGCCAACAACTTCTCAGAATAAAACTGACACTTTAGAAAAACTTTGCTTCAAAACAGCAAAAAGGCATATGCACCTTGGCAAATTCTTGGAGAAGAATTTCCCTTACGAATGCACCCTGAAATAGCGGAGGGGGGAATTTATTGTAAGTTATGCAAGATTTTTAAAACAAAAATTTAACAGAGTAACAAGGGAGATCCATCCTACTTTTGCAGACAGGGTAAAAGATACAGCTTGCTTCATTGCGGCAGATGAATCTGTACTTTCAAGTTGACTCCTAGCAAAAGACTGCTCGTTTTTTGCACGAAGTGACTGCCAATGAAATGTATTAGACAGAATAGGATAAGGTGCAGGTATACGAACAAACTATAAGTGATAAATAATTGCTATAGAGCATTCTACAGTTGTCATAGCTATAGGAAGCATGCTGTATTATTCAGGCAAGTACTCTGTATTTTTTATGATTATTTAATTAATATATTTTTTTATTAGATTTGACTTATGTTAAAAAAGGTAGAGGTAGACCTAAAAAGACTTGGTTAAAAAAATATTTGAAATGACATTTCTTTATTAGATTTAAATGAGAATTTAACTTTTAACAGGGAACAATGAAGAAAAATAATTCATGTAGCCGAACCCAAATAGTAGGATAAAGACTTGATGTTGTTGTTGTTGTTGTTGTTGGTCTATTCATACTTGAATGATACAATATATAGCATCCATCTATGTTGCTTCTTATAATCTCCAATCCTAAGAGTGAAATTGATGGACCAGCCGATTTGATTGGGAGGAAATTAGAAAGTTTCCTAATCAAAAGAGAACTATTTAGGAAGGTTCTTAATCAAAGGAGAATTGTTTAGAAAAAGTTTTAGTTACAATTGGGAGGGAATTATTTCGGGAAAGATATCTAATTTGAATTGAAAATCTAAGAGGGAATTATTTAGGGAAAATGAGGAGTTAAGGGGGGGGATTGTTTAGGAAAGTTCTAATTATAATAGGGAGAGAATTAATTAGAAAAATAAATATAATTTGAATTCAAATATGAGAGGAATTTATTTAGGGAAATGGGGCTGATTTGGGAGGGAATTATGGGAGTCTATTTAAGGCTAACTATGGGTTGATTTCAGATTATGTTTTGAAATTTGCTAAATTTAATTTATTCTTAGATCATTTGGGCTCTAGCAGGCGGCTAGGGAATTGGGGGAGCCGGATCTTCCTCTGTAATTGAAGATCCAATTGTATCTTGCATTTCTTTTTATAGTTCTTTCAATAAAAATTATTTTGGGGCATTCTTCTTCAAAATTTTTTATGTTTGATCCAATGATTTTTGTGAAAACTGCTTCCACTTAATTCCTATCAGAAATGAACTTCCAATATAATTTATGTATTAGACGGTGCACAAATGTTTCCTTTTGTAGTAAAGAGGGTGTCAAAAAGACAATCTTAAAGTATTATTAAGATAAAGTATGATATGCTACAAACAATCTCAAATTAGAAAGAGAGAAAACAATCAAAAATAACTAAGATTCATATGGTTTAGTTTCAAACCTAGAAAAGAAAAATTATAAGATGGTGGTGAGATTTGCAATGCTTCATGGCACAGAATGTTGGCCATTAAAAGAAAAGCATAAAACTAAGTTAACTATTGTAGAGATGAGGATGCTTAGGTGCAAGAGTGGCTTTACACTTAGAGACAAAATGTGAAATGAGTATTTATGTGAAAGGGTTGAGTAGCTTTGGTGGCAGATAAGATTATAGAGTCACCTTAGATGGTTTGGTCACAGAAGACGTCAGCCTTCTGATGACTCTATTAAGAGAGTAGATGTATTAGATCCGTCTGATATTAAGAAAGGTGGAGATAGATCTAAAAAACTTAGTTAGAAAGTATTAAAAATGACATATTTTATTATATTTAAATGAGAATTTGAGAAAAAGGATTCATAGTGAGATAAAAAGTTGTTTTGTTTCACACAAGTTTATGTCTATAAGAGAGGAGAGAAGATCTAATTTACTAACAAAAAATAATGATCATGGAACACAAGAGGAGCACATACCAACCCTTCCCTAATTTCTAAGGACACTCATGCACAAACAAAGAAGATGAAAATACCAAAATCTCACATATATATTACACACAATTATGTGTCCTTCACCTTCGCACATGCACCTCCATTTGACCCTATGGCTCATTAGTGATTTGATGATAACAAATCATGTGTGATGTCAACTAGTGGTTTGCAAGTATTTTATTTCAGAATAATCAATTATGACCAATTTTAATATCTTAGAGTGCCTTAGGACCTATTTTATTAGGAAGATAGCAATTGACTGTTTATTGAATTCTTCTGATCTGATGGCCTTCTACTCTTCTCCATCTCCTCTGAAGGGTGGAATAATAGACTAGCCGGCTCCATACTTTTCACCTCATTTTACGGGGATAAACATATCAATCGACGATAACAAATCTTGTGGATGTAGAAATTGCTATCTGGTCCAAATAATTGAATTGGCGAAAAAAAAAACATGCTTTACAATATTGTGTTGATTCAAACTCATGAACTAACATATTAAGTGGGAGATGTTTTATATATAAAAAAACTGGATGATGCTCTAGTCTTTTTCTAAATGTTTTAAAGGAAAATTTATGTTCGAATATCCGAATGTAAAGCAAAAGTTATGCAGATTTACACATTGATAACAGGATGAGTCATCATTGTAAAAGAAAAACACAAGATTGTGCCTGCCTGGACAGACTAAAAGTTAGGAAATACAAAACGGCACCTGCGTAAGGTAAGCAATCAGTACAGCAACTTTAGGAAGTTTTTTCTTACTATGATATTTACTTATTGTTTTCACTCATCTCAAGGTTAATGTCTTAGTCCACCAAAGAATGTTTTGTCAAAAGTAAAATACCAAGAGCTTAAGTACAGCATGGAGTCCTAAGTCTGAAGTAATTTTTTTTTTTGTATAAGGCTTTCCAAGAGCCTACTTTATGGGCCCAACACGTAAATATCACTGAAGCCAAAAAAAAAAAAAGTCACAAGAAGCAAACCTCGATTAACAGTGACTCCAAACGATCAATCCTGAAAACGCCTTCCTGATGAGACAAAAAATAGTTCTAAGTGCTCAGACAAATAAGAATATAGAACAGAAAAGCACACGATTTTGAATGCAACAAAGCTAGTGATATTTCAAGATCAACGCATAAGGAAAACCTTATAAAGAAGGGTTTGTAATGTAGATCGGAGTTGTGGAGAGCTATCTGTTAACACTTTTCTTGCAATCCATGGATATGAGCTACTCAAAACCTTGTAATTTGGATCGAAACCAATTGCAATACCCTCCAGAACTGCAAGGCTGGAAACATCTAAAAAGTGGACAATCAATATTGAGTCATAAATCTAACATGTTTGGCATGCAAACTAGCTTGCGTAAATTTTGTAACAGTTAAACAGCCGGAAGCATGTTTTTCAAATAAAAAAAGAGCCGAGGCATCAATGCACCACTAAAATCAAGGAAACTACAACGCATAATTTAAGGTTACAGTGATTACCTTCGAATCACGAGAAAGAAATATGAGGGTATTCGGAATTTAAACTTGTACCTGAAGACCGATAATAGATGTCAGCAGATATCAAATGAAAAAAAAATGACAAGGTTTGACAATAAGTGTCGCAAATCAGAAAAACTGGAAACATTCAGTGTTACAGTTCTTCACCAACAGCACTTTATGATGATTTCGTTTAATGTGAGCTTCTTGTCATCAAAAGTCCTTAAACTTTTGATAATTACGGTCCCCAAACTATATGTAAAGGAAAACATCTTTTTCTCTTTTTTTTTTTTGAATTGCAAATGTGTCAAACTTGCCGTATGCTTTTCTCAAATCACGAAATGCAGTAAAATCCTATGAATAGAGCAAACAATATCACAATTTTATCAACTAAAACAATTTTCACGAAAGCTAGGATGCTAATAAAATAATAATGACGACAATGCTAGTGCTGACAATATTTCTAAATCCTTTACCTATTTCTAAAACAGACCCCAAACCATTTGAGGGACAAGTACCTACATGGTGAGACCCAGATTTGCAGACAAATCTTCAAAACTTATATTGCGGACTCCTTTGTTGACAGCATCTTCGAATACATCTGCATGTATGTCACAATTGTAGAAACAGTGGTCCGGTATCATTAAGAGAAATGAAATTTAAACGTGTAGATGCAGCAACCTCCATAATTCTAGCGTAATTAAAAAAGTTTATACTAAAAAAGTGCAACCAATGATCAGAAAATAGGAGTATATACAGACAAGGACCTGTCAGCGCTTTCGTGACTTCATCCTTCTGTGCAGTGGGAGGAAGAAGCCTGCATAAACATTGTAAAAATACAGTTCATGTAAGTCCAAGCGGTTGGAGGATCAAAACAGGGTGAAACATACAGATTAAAAACTCCATTGAGTTGCTTGATGAACTAAACTAAGAGATTCCCATCAAAAGCTGCTGGCATTGACAAAGAATTTGCGGTGAAAATATTACCCATGCTTATCTAAACACAAAAAACCATAGCAGATGATACCCACACCAATGAAAAAATGTAAGATATGCTCAAAAACTAAAACTTCAAATTGTGTGAATTTAGTTTGACAAACTTTCTTTATTTTAACCTTATCCCATTTTTACATGCTGCAGAATCCCATGATCTGCATTTTTTTAATGCATAACTCATAACATTTTATATTTTGCAAACTAAATATAAAAGTTCATAATAAAACATAGGCAGCCTGTGCTTAATCTTATTATTAATCATTCATACCTTCAAACTGATGTCCTATTGTTCTTTTTTATCTTGTGATATTACTCACAGTGAATACTAAACCAGAACCTGTTGACGTGAAATTCCATTGCAGTGTTACCAGATTGATCAAATAGAAAGATAGGTATTAACATGAGGGATATGATTCTCAAATAATCTGGGCTTCTTAACTCATTCATATGGAAGAGCAAAGTCAAGAAAAAAAAATTGGTGTACCAGTGCATCAAACCAGAAACACAGGCTAACAGAGAATGATATCTAAGGAAATCACCAATTACCCAAGAGTAACGAAGTCCTTTGCTAAAGAATCAAAATCTCGGTTAACAAGATGAAGACATGCTTGAATAAATCCATCACGGAGTTCTTGCCTAAACTCCCCCATCATTCCAAAATCTGTAAAGAAAAAAGCATGTTAAATATAGTCAAGTAGATGATAAAAAAATGTCCTTTTGTCTCAGGATACATAGAAGACTAAATCTACAGAAGCAAATTGTTAAGTGGAAAAAATAGAAGCAGATTAATTAAGTCGAAGACATTCCTTGAATTTGCATTTTATCCTTCATGAGCATGAATATTTTGTACATAATCGATGCAATAGACTTTAAAACAGAATGGTTAATGAAGCTAGTAGATTTTGCCAATATATAGGCATTAAATGTATGACTTATTTTAGAATGGAGTCGTGTAATCTGACTATTCTGTGCGAAAAACAGCAAAAATTAAGGTACTAGTGGAACAATTTCAATCTTCTATTCGGCATTGGCACATGAACTACAATCAATATTACGCCCTTTTTCCCTGAAGTACAACCAATTATAAAATCTGTGTTTATTAGCATAAGAAGCAAAGCATAGAGCAATAATTTGTGCACAGCTTATTGATTTATTTTATTTTATTTTTTTTAGAATTTAAAAACATGCCGGTGATGAGAGTCCAGAAGGTGTACTTTTATTTCATAATTTTAGGATAGTTCATATTGCTTAGCATTATTTTAGTCTTGATTCAATTTAGATTAAGCTCAACAAAGAAAGCCGCATTGAGGCAGTTGTATTGAATGGTTCATGGTTGTATTCGTCTTGTAGGTTTTATTATTTTGTGGATTTGGGAGAAGTGCAGTAGTTGGCGTTCAGAGTTATATTGCTTCTGAACTTATCTCCTTTCTGACTTTATCATAAAGACGTTTGAGCAGTGGAATCTAGATTTTCTCTTCCCTTGCGTGGTGATTTTTTATCTGTCTTCTTCAAAATTCCAAGATGGTTTTAGCGTGATGATACCAAAATTATTAAGAAAATTAGTGATTGATTGAATATTTCAGTAAAGCTGACTAAGCTTGTGATGGGGACATCAGATCAGCGTGGAAGGTTTATCAGAGACGTGGCCGCCGATCTACGGCCACGATCGAGTCCTTGTATTTCTGAGTCATGATTGTATTTTATTTTATTTATGCATTTTCTTATTTGCTTAGGTGTCGTTATTATTTCCCTTTGTACCCATTTCATGGGAGTGGTTGCATGTAAGCCCAAAGGGCAAGTTGGTCTTTTATTTTCTTGAGCCTTTGTACTCGGCTATTTATAGCCTCATTTCCTTCGTTTTGAGTTAATGAATATTTGCTTATGAATTTTCTTCTTGGATGAGTTTGAGAGAGCTTGTGAGTTCTAATGGAGAGAAATCCCTAGGAGAGGGAGATCTGTGAAAAACCCACCAACTTAGATAAGTCGGGTTCATGGTTTATTTTTTTCTTTCCCTTTTGTTTCTTGTTCCTCCCCTTCCTCCCACCACCACCGCCGGCCAACCATCCCCTCACCCGACCTTCACCCCACTCAAAACCCACGGTTCACAACCCCTACCCGAGCCCCTAAGCCACCAGCCCCAACTCCTTAGTCGCCGGTCGGTCCGCCCATCTCCTCCCCCTTTGGTCCCTTGTCACCCTGAGTTTCCTAATTGGATGTGGTTGAATTTGGGATGAATTTAATTTTAATTTCATTTGAATTCAAATTCAAAACCTTTCCTAAAATAACCCATCTATTTTAGGAAAGTATTCAATTGGGGATTTATTTGAAATTCAAACACTTGGATTTCAGACAAATCTTTCCTAAATCCAAATATGAATTTAGTAACCTCAATTACTGGCATTTAATTCCCTCCCTAGCCCTTCACTGCCGCCGGCCCCATCATAGCCTGATAGGGGAAATATTTCCTAAATCAATCATTGGTTTTTGGGAAGTAATTTCACATCTCCCATAGATTTGCCTGGGCCGAATCTATTCAACCCCCATCTCTTTATTTTCCTAAAATTGCTTTCTGAACTAGGAAATAATTTCATGGAAATCCTCTCTCACGTACCCGCCAGCCTCCCATTAGAAATTCTTTCCCGCCAGCCTCCCATTGGAAATTCTTTTGAAATTCTCTCTTAGTGCTGGATTTCTCTGTGAGAATAAGTTGGAACTCCTCACCTGCTGCTGGCCGAATTTTCTAAGGGCTAATCTTGGGTCTTCTTGACTAAATTTTCATAATCTAATTATGAGAATCTGAAACTGATTTCAGGTTTCAGCATTTGGCTCTTTCCCCTCCCACAAGGCAAGAGAAGTTTCTTTCTTTTCAAGAGATTTGATTACATCATCCAGGAGAAGGAGGTTGACCGTACTATTGACGAGGACTTGGATGACGTCTTGTGCGTTCTAATGGAAGTCATCAACGAGCATGTCGAAGGCCTTGAGTGGAGGATCTCCACGTCTCTTTAGCAAAGTTTTCTTTTCTCACTTGTATCTTATTTCTTTGAAATCTAAATTCTCTTTGGCTTGAGTGAAGGCCTTATGTCTCATCCAAGTGCTCTTGCTAAGCCTAGTAATTCGTAGGTTATTGAGTGTACTTTTTTTGCATCCTAAATCTCGTTGTTAGACTAGGGATTACATTGAAGACTACTATTTTGCATTGTTTCAATTGTCTTATTTATCTTGAAAATTCCAACGTTTTGAGCATGTGATTTAGCCTACGCAAAGCATCTCTTTATTTGTTTTAGTCAACGTTGAGAATTGCTAATAATTTGAATCTAAAACTATTCTAATCAAAGAGTTGTGCAATGCCTAAAAGGAAGCCACAAGCATGTCATCTAATTAGTCCTGCATCATCTGGTATCAGAGCATGGTATGCTCTTGCATGTCTTAGGATTCCTGGTAGTTTTCCTTTTTGTGTTTTCATTTTACATTATTTTTCATTTAGAAAAGCTTTTATTTTATCCATAGGGTGCTCCTAAAGCATATTATGTCATTTTGTGAGCATAAAACATCTTAAGTTCATCTTACACCCTTGTTTAGCGTGCTGTCTAGAGAATTCCTGCAGTTTTACAAACTTTAGGATCACTATTTAAGTGTGTTTTGGCTGTCCTTAAACCTTGCATTCATTATTACTTGTTAGGGTGACTTAGTACTTGAGTGTAGTTTGCTGTCCCTGAAATTCCTGCACCATATAGGGCCATTTTAGAGTGTCTTTTCTTTCCCTAGCTTGCTGTCCACTTTTTAGGAAACCCTCTAAGTACCCCATTGTGTTTAGGAATGGACCCGGAACAACTAGGAAGGACCCTAGACCTCTTGGTAGGTCAAATGAATACTATTAGTCAGCAACTCAAGGAAAACCAGTCGGATCTAGCTAAGCTTCGTAGGAACACCACCGAGAGATTTGATACACTTGAGCGAGCTAGAGACCATCCTACTCCCTACACCCCATCTAGACCTCCTTCTATGTATGGGGATGAAACCTACCCGGATGAGAGGCCACATCGGGCTAATCATCGAGCTCACTATCATGGACATGATCCACGTCATGATCCTGATTTGGATGAGAGGCACCACCGTGTCAATCATCGTGCTACCTACCCCGGCCATGATCCCGATGCACCACTTATGAAGAACATTAAGGTTGATGCTCCTACCTTTGATGGCACCCTCGATCCCCAGCTCTTCCTGGAGTGAATCAAAGGTATGGACAATTTCTTTAAGTGGTCTGATATTTCTGAGGCCAGAAAGGTTAGTTTTGCTGCTATGAAGCTTACGGGTAGGGCGAGTCAGTTTTGGGCGAACTTAGAGAGTCTCAGGGAGGATAGGAATGAGTACCCTATTGTAGACTGGCTGTCCATGAAGCGAGAACTCAAACAGAAGTACTTGCCTTCGTCGTACTTCCCCCGCCTATTGGACAGATGGAATAGGTTGACCCAAGGCAACAAACCAGTGAAGGAGTACATCGCCTCGTTTGATGACTTCTTGATTCGCTGCAAAGGGGAGACCTCTACCACCCCCGCGCAGATCTTATCTATGTTTCGTACCGGGTTACGAGAAGATCTTCGCAATGAGTTGTTTGCCCGGAACGTCACTACACTGGAGAATGCCTACAGCCTAGTGCTTGATCTAGAGGAGTCCCGTTCTCAGCACCCTAGTCGTTCCCACGATTCTAGACCCTCGTATAGATCAGCCGGTAGTTCCACCCCGCACACTCCTGCTTCACGTCCCACTCCTGGGAGCACGACCCGACCACCCATAGGTCCACCTGCACCTAGATCTGATTTTAGAAGCAAACCTTCCACCCCGGATGCCCCTCGGTCCAGTCCCGGGACCAAATACTTTCGATGCCAGGGGTATGGGCATATCGCTTCTCAGTGCTCCTATCCTTATAAGGTTTCGATCGTTGAAGAAGTAACTCAGGACGATCTCGAGCTCGAGGTTGATCAGATCCACCAAGTTGAGGAAGAAGGCGAATACTTCGAGGAGGACGACGACACTATGGTCCTCAATTGCCTTCAGAAATTGGATACCCCTCCCATCTGCATGGTGAGATGTGCTCTATCCCACCCGACACCCACTGATGACTGGCGTAGGACCTCGATTTTCCACACCTACACCAAAATCAAAGACAAGAATTGCAAAGTCATAGTGGATAGTGGTAGTTGCATTAATGCTATTTCCTCCAGCATGGTATCCCAGTTAGGTCTGTATGTCGTTCCTCACCCCAACCCGTATAAGGTATCGTGGGTCAACTCTAATGCCTTGGAGGTGCAGGAACGAATCCACGTGCCCATCTCCTTTGCCACTTATAAGGAGAACGTCTGGTGCGATGTGTTGGCTATGAATGTTGGACAAATTTTGCTAGGACGCCCCTGGATTTACAATAACGATGTCCACATTTATGGGCTTTCAAACACCTGCGTGTTTGAACATAAGGGCAAAAAGATCAAGCTGATGCCATTACAGCCCCGGATTACGGATGAGCCTGAATCCAGCCCTGTCAAAACCAAGAAGGGACTAAACCTGATAACCGCTATAGCCCCGAGTGCCCCTTCACACACCTTAGTCGATTGTGAGACTCCCACTGAGTCTGACGAATCTGTCCCTCTTGAGAGTCAG